TTGGGGCCCTACCTAATAATGCTGGACATGCAGTGCTATGTGACATGTTCCAGCGGCCCAGAGCGAGCGACGACGGCTGTGGGTTTTCTATGCTAGCTTCTTTTGCCTCCTCCCTCAAGCCTGTCGCGCCTGGCTCACTTGTCTTTGATCTTTTTCTTTTTTCATGCTTTGTTTGTTGGGGTCCCCCAGCCACCCGCCCACCATTAATTTTTGTTGGGAGGGGTGTTTACTTGCCATGTTCATGACTGGGCCCCGGACTTTTTACTCGCACCCCGTCCATTCCACTTGTCAACACACCACCACCACATCCTATTGTACCATGCCCACCGACACGCCCAAGGCTTGGGGGAATTTTGAAGCTTTCGCTTCAGTCTGATCGTTCAATATCCGTGGAAGTTTCATTCGCATGCCCCACCCCTGCCCGACCCGGTTAGAAATGCTGATCTCGAGCTACAGTGCAAATCTCGTGGCGCGTCGAGTATGGTTCGGTGTGGAATCGCAAGTCATGAGCCGTCCCCGAGTTTGAGCGGCTTCCGCCTCCTGTGGCCGGCAAGAGTCAGAGTCGGCGTTGGCTGTTCCTTGCCTGTTTCGCCACGGAAACGGCCGGTTGAACAGCGAAAAAGGGTCCTGCGTGCTGCGCGCCACATTTTGTTTTTTTTTGCGTTTGTTCTGGAGTGACCATGGTACACATGCGGCTGCTGCTGCGGTTTCTGCTGTTATGATCGGAATGTGCTGCAATGGTCGTACGGTCATCGTAGTCAGGTTTGACAACAGTCTACTCGTTCGTATAGCGGTAGCGGTGCGCATCTATCGCGACGGCAAGCGCATTGAGATAATAGTTCGTCCGTCATGCTTCTAGTCTACACAGACAGATAGTCGTGTTCTTCTTTGTTGCCACTTCATACCAGAAAAGAAAGAAAGAAAGTCTCCACCAACTTGCAGTATCTCCACAGCAGTTCGGAAACGACGACTATTTTTCTGTTGTCGTGTTTGTTGTTGCTGAGCGCACATCGGATGTCGCCGTTCGTTACACGTGTTCAAGCCTGTGGTGGGCCAGAGGGATGAGAGTGAGTGTCTTCTCGATGAGAGTTCATGCCCTGTCTTCTCGAGTCTCCCTTCCTTTAGTCTACCTCTCTCTCTCTCTGTTGCATTTTCGCCGTTAGGGTCCCCGATAGCATCGAACGTCAACGGCAATCGTTTTGCGTCTTGCTGAGTAGGAGGCTACCCGTGTACCCGGCTGCTGCATGTGAGGCAATGGGCGCCGCCTCTTTCCGTCAAGCAATGCGCATGGCCCCTACGGTTCGCCGCACATGCAGTGCTGTGTGACAGCTTGCAGCGGTTCAGAGCGTCGACGGTGTTTTTCGCTGGTAGAGCCCCTGAACAACGCGAACCCCGCGACTGTTTCATTGTTTTGGGGTCCCCCACTCACCCACCCATCCATGAATTTCAGCAGTTTTAGTTGGGGGGATGTTTTTCTTGTCATGTCCATGACGTGGTGCCCCGAGCGAGTATGGTTCGGTAGGGACTCGCAAACCATAACCGCTCCCCGAGTTTGAGCATCAGCTTCGGCCTCCTGTGACGGACAAGAAGACCGGAAATTGTCTCGCCATCCAAACAACAGTTGGGCAGTTGAAAAAAAGAGGGTCCGGTCCGCCGAAGATTTTGTTTTTATATTTCCCTGCCGACAAATAACCTCGGCTACGGCAGTGCAAATCTCATGGCGCCTCAAGTACGGTTCCGTAGGGAATTGCAAATCACGACCCCTCCCCGACTTTGAGTATAGCTTCCACCTCCTGCGGCGGATAAGACCGACGTCAAACCCTAGATTTTGTCCGTCTATGTCGCCATGTCGTCGCCATGCACGAACAGCAGTTGGAGAGTCACAATAAAGAGGGTCCGCTTCGCCACCAAGAAAACAGTTTTTTTTTCGATTCTTCTACAGCTGGATATGTTGCTACCATAGCTGTGGTTAAGCTTGAGGGATATAGGGTCTCCGGCAGCATATTCTATGCGAAGAGTTAACGCCTTCCTCACGTAACGATGCGCATCTCCCATGGCAAGCAGAATGGATGACCTCATTATGACGCTATTTCTTGTGACTACAAGTTCAAGTTCGCCCGGGCGTTATTGTTCTTGCCGGAGAAAGAGACTAAACTTCTACTGCGTACCAGTCCGTGCATGTATCCGGCTACTGTATGTGGGGTCGTGGGTGCTGCCCCTGCTGTTTGCTGCGGTACATGGAAAGCTTCCAGTAGGTCAGAGCGGCAAGGGGGTCTTGTTTCTTCACTTGTTTCTTAGCTCTGCTCTCCTCTACTTCTTCTTTTTTTCCTGTCGCTGGCGGTCTCTCTTTTGTTATCGCCCTTCGTCCTTGCTTGCAAGAAACTGTGAGGATGTAAAATTGCTGAGTCTGACTGTTTCTTAGGGTCCCCCGCCCACCCACGACCCACCTGTCGGTATGATTCATTCGTGGTCTCGAATATTTTCAGCAGTAGTTGTCTACTACAGGACATGCGCTACTACTGCTGCGTCCATGGGTGGGTGCAACAGAAGAGCTCCGGGGACTGATGGTCTTCTGACCTGATCGCAGAGAGAGGTTCCTGCCACAACTACAATACGACTCTTATGAAATGTCCATGAATGACGGGGAACGCGTCCTACGCCTCTTCTCTTTTATTTTTTCCCTCTCTCCCGTCCGGTTCTTTCGTTTCGGAGAGGAAACCTACTGTGAAAAGCGTATCTTCTGGGGTCCCGGATTATTTCCCAGCGTGCGGAAGAGCGCGTTCTGGGTGTGGTCTCCTTTTCATTAGGGTGTGACGTGTGTACTACATTTATGTATGTATGTAAACGAAAAAAACAGATCAACGAGATGATTCTTGAAAGCACGGAGTCCCTCGCCACAAAAAAGTGTATGCGCATGGATGGGCGTAATGAGATATACCGGTCGAAGACTGACGTTTTATTCGGGTGCGCGTGAGGTCGCCTCTAACATTCGTTTGCTCATTTCTTGCTTCAATCCAGTCTATAGTTACTACCTCGCATAGCGTATTGAAGCAAGCGGAGGGTCCTAGACTGATCTGTCGTTGACTTGCGGACCCTTCTTCGGGTCCATTTTATTTTCGTATAACTTTTTTGGGTAAGTTCGCCTGTGACCACGGCGGGAATCGACCG